TTTAATTTAAAAATTAAAATTAATATATTTTTAAAAAATCATATAAAATCATATAAATAATAATAATGTATAATCATTTTTTAAAAAAAAGGTGATGATTAAAAAGTTAGTTGAATTTTATTATATTGAAAAGTATGTATAAATTGTTGACCGAGCAAATAGTACCTTTTTGTTTTATTAACATTTGCAATTATTATTATATAGTACCTTAAATATTTATCAACATTTGGAATTATTATACTCTTTGACTCTGTCAACATGAGAAAATGTGTTTTGAAGAGTAAGGTTTATTTATCCCTTAATATTTTGGATATAGAAAAAGAGATTAATTTATATTTACTAACAGTGAATAGTACTATCAGTTTATTTTTAGAAATATTTATTTTTTTAATTTAATGATTATATTTTTATATTTAAAGATTAATGATTCTTTTAATTTTTATTTTTCTTTTTTTAAACAAACTCTATAAATTTAAGATTTTTAGGAATAAAATTCAAATATTATTTATACTAACGACTATGAGTATTACTTAAATAAATTAGTTTGAGTATTACTTGAATAAATTGGAATGCATATGATGGTATACGATCAAAATTTATTTTCAATTAATTTTTGTATTATCGATAAGATGAACTAAGAAGAGAATTGAAAAAAAAAGAATTAAGCAGAGAAAAGTTGAAGCAATGGAAGCATCTATTCAGAAACTTTTTCATGTTAGAAAGAAGACTTAATAAGTTATAAATAATATTTTTTATGAAATCAATTAGTCTAAATTAAAAAAAAAGTAAAAAGTTACTATTGATAATTGTCTCAAATTGCTTCAACGGTATTATGGGAATGAGGTAAAAATAATGAGGACAAGAAAACACTGCAAAAAATCTGCTTATCTTTGACAACCAAGAAAAATCCTAAATAAACTCATATAATTAACTTAGAGTTCAAATTATCATATAATATTATTTAAAATTTAATAATAAATAATATATTTTGAAAAATAAATATTTCTACAAAATGAGATGAAAGTTGTTATAGAATAATAATTGCAAATGTTAATAAAACAAAATATTTTCATTGTGGGGAAATAGTTAGGTCCTCAAGTTATTGTCTTCGTGTGGAGTTCGGTGTTATATGACTTAGCATATTTACACTTTCAATTAATTTAAAATAGCGTTATTTTTAATTCTTAAAGTTAATGAATGTTTAATTTATTTTATCAAGAACATAGAATATATAATAGACTCTACGAATCGTAAGAGTTTGAGGCAAAAAATTCATTAACATATTGTTCAATACTAGTAACACTATAAAATAGATAAAGATAATTGGAAGAATAGAACAATAATCCTTCATCTATTTCAATTTTGTGTAGTTCATTGTTCTATTCCACACCAAATCGTACATATCATAAGCCTAATAATTTCGATTTTCAATTTATGATATACTTTTCATATAAGAATAAAAATATATTCTATAATATTGTAATATAAGTGATTAAATTTGATCTAGCAATCCTATTTTTTTGTGATACAAAATAATATATCTCTCATCTCATGAAAAAAAACCTTATTTGAATTAACATTCTTAAAAACCTTAGATATCATTTCAATTATTAACTATATTTATATTGGAGATTATTACTTTTTGTTTCAAATATTTACCAATAAAATAGTTCACAAAAAATAATCAGACTTTGCATATGTAAGTATAACATGTAAATGGTAAAATGCTTGAAAAATATTATTACTAATAATAATACAACAACCGATATATCAAGGCATTTTTAAAATTTGAATTCTAAATAGAATAACTATACCATGAAGCTTAATGGACGAATTTTAAAAATCAAAACAAAAAAAAAAAGATGTATAGATTTTTATAATAAATTGGCATTACTTAAATTTTTTTGTAATTTTGGTTAAATGAATGATTATAACTTTTAGATTTAATATTCTTCTTTATGGCAATAATGTTGTAAAGAATTGGTTAAATAAATTTTAGGCTTTAATTTTCTCCTTTATGGGCAGTAATACCACACCTCCACCATCCCATAATCTTCCCCACCTACTCAAAGTTTATTATTATGTTTATGACACTTTTTCTTTTATTCTATTGTACTCCAATTTGAAACGATTAAGAATAAAAAAGTACTTATTATTTTGCAATAATTTTTATTGGTTGTGATATTCTTTGGCATTCCTCAATATAATCTTAAAAATAGAGGTTTTGAAAATAATATTACATATACTTGAGAAGAATGTTATCTTATATTGTTCATTTATCTTATATTCTTCTTCCTGTTTTAATATTTTTCTTATTAATTTGCTCTTATTTTACAATAGATTACCAACACGAAGTCTTAAGGTTGAACAACACTTTTTGCAAATTATGGAACAACACTTTTTGCAAATTATGTATTTATATTTTGTTTTACAGTGGTGATGTCTTAGATTTATATTTTATTTTTTGATAAGTGTATATGTGTGATATTGTCTAAAGAATTTCATTGATAATTTTTTTATTATTATTTGTAATTTGATTATTTTATGATAGTTTTTAGTATATCAATTTTATCAAAGTTTGAGTTCATGATAATTAATATATTTGAAAAAATATTCTTATCATACAATGTTGGAATTCACCTAGAAGCTAAAGATCTTATGCAACTATTATCGAAGGTAATCATTGAGTCCAGACAAAGTGAAGGTTGTGATTTCCTTTGTCATCATTTTGATGAACGATTGAAGATTGTATATTTGACAGTGAAAGATTCACTCTAATTATGGACTAGTTTGAACGAAAGATATGACTATCTTAAGATAACAATATTGCTATAGGCTTATTATAAGTGGATTCACTTACCGTTACAAGTTTTTGAAACTATATATATATATATATATATATATATATATATATATATATATATATATATATATATATATATATATATATATATATATATATTACTTTCATGTATACAAAATTGCTTCCCTATTAAAATTATGTAGGAAACATACAAATGATAATGTATGTTGGCAAAGACTCTTGTTAGTTTTATGTCTCAATTTGATAATACAATAATAATATCGGATATGAAATTTTAAAAAGTATTCTAAATTGATCTCATGCAACGAATGATTTAAAGAATGAAAAGGTTAATGGCCTTATTTATTAAAGGAATCTTTTTGTGGCTGAGCAAGATACTATTCTATGATTGAAAAATCATGAAATTGTTCTATTACCAAAAACAAATGAGTTAGAAGCACATGAAAACTCTAAAAGAAAACAAAATAAAAATTGAAACCATAACAATATGTATGAGCATTCTTAAAATCCGTGGTGATGATCATTATTATAAAAGGGAGAACAACATGAATTCTTAAAACAATCATTCAATAGGTAATTGTCATCGTTGTAGTATGAAAGGTCATTGGAAAAATGAATGCCGAAAACAATCATTCAAGAGGTAATTGTCATTGTTATGGTATGAAAGGTCATTGAAAGAATAAATATCGAAAATTTGAGCATTTTGTTAGATTTTATAACACAATTTTCAAAAGGAAAAAACTAAAAATGATGCTTCTTCTTCTGTTGCTCACTCTGAATTTATCACTTATGGTAATGTACACAATTAAGAATTTTAATTATGCACATTTCAGAATTTAAAGAAGCAAATGAGAAACACAATGCCAAGAAAAGAACCCCTTTGTAGATGAAGGAGAATGTGAATATTCAACCGCTAACTAGATTCATTGAATTGCTTTACATTTATGTTCTGTGGAACTTCTAGTTCACTTGGTTCACTTTATGTAACTGAAAAAGAATATTGATTGTTTTTTTAAAATTTGTATAGAGGTTAAATGACAACCCAATTTTTGAAAGTTTTTTTTTTTAGTATAATCTTCATAAATTTTTATGTAACTTATATTTATTTTTTTGGAGAGAAATAAGTTTGATGAGTTAAGTAGATCTATTATTTTTTCTAAATGATGGGTTAATGTCATGTCATTTCAACTACAATAGAAGGATATTTTGAGATATTTACTTATTTTTGAGAAAAATATAATAGGTGAATTATATTTTTGCCATAAAAAGATAATTAGTAATTTTAGTTAATATAATTACTATTCAAAATTTCTTAAAATTTATTGGTTAAACGCAATTAATTCTTACTAAGAATACTTTTTTTGGGAATGTACTTTATACATATAAATCCTTTTTAAAAATAAATAATACTAAAAATCTGTCCAAACAAAATATTAGTTGTATTTTATTTGGTCAAACACAGATTAATCTTATCAAAAATATGTTTTTTGGAAAGTGATTTTATACAAATCAACCCTTTTTTAAAAAATAAACTAATACTAGAAATCTACCAAACTAAATATCACTAATATTTTTAAAATTCTATTTGTCAAACGCATATTATTATCTTTTTTTTAAAAAAAAAATGATCTCATTTAACTTGACATATAGTTTTAAAAATGAATGAAGACTTTTTAATTTTGTGATTTTAAATTAAAATAATATCAAATATACTAAAATACTTTTTAATCTTGTAATCTTAAATATGCTACGTTGAAAACTGAAATTAAAATATTGTAAAAAAATAATAATAAAGAGGTCATTTACTAACTAAAAAAAAAGGTGAGAGTACTTTTTGTTTAAAAATTACTTTATTTATTATACAAATCAACCTTTTTTTAAAAATAAGCTAATACTAGAAATCTGTCAATACAAAATATTAGTTGCTCTTTTAAAAAATAATCAAATACTAATTATCATTCAAAATTAATTAGTCAACCATAAATTATTTTTAAGTAAACTTATTTTTAAAAAAAGGAAAAGAAATTGATCAACAAATGATTAGGTTATTTTTGGAATTAATGGGTCATGCAAAGAAACCACAATCCATTTGTTTGAAAAGAAAAACTTCAAACTTTATTCTCTTTTATTTATTTCCTTTTCCTAAATTTATCATCACTATATATAAATCCATACCCTTTTAGCCTTTTAACCAAGAAGTAACCAAAAGTCATAAAAATAAAAAATAAAAATCATGTCTATTATTTACCTTTTTCTTCTTCTTTTAAAATTCAATTCCTTATCTTCTCATGCTGCTGCTGCTTCTGTGTTTGACACTTTTGTCGATTGTCTCACAAAAAACTCAATTCCTCAATCAGAAATCTCGAAAATCGTGTACACCCCAAACAACCTTTCGTTTAACTCCATTTTACAAGCCTATATCAGAAACGGCCGGTTTTTCAACTCCTCCACTACTTCCAAACCGGTTATCATCGTCACTCCGACGGTGGAATCTCAGGTCGCCGGAGTTGTTGTTTGTACCAAACAGTTAAATTTACAGCTGAAAATCCGTAGCGGCGGGCATGATTATGAAGGCATTTCGTATATCTCCGATGTTCCTTTTATTATGCTTGATATGTTTAATTTACGATCGATTTCCATCGATACGAATGGTAAAACTGCTTGGGTACAAGCAGGTGCTATTTTAGGTGAAGTTTATTATAATATTTGGAGGAAAAGTCCAGTTTTAGGTTATCCTGCCGGGGTTTGTCCGACGGTGGGTGTGGGTGGGCATGTTAGTGGTGGTGGTTATGGGAATATGCTTCGTAAGTTTGGACTTACGGTTGATAATTTATTGGATGCTCGATTGGTTGATGTTAATGGTAGAATTTTGGATCGTAAAGCCATGGGTGAAGATTTATTCTGGGCGATTAAAGGCGGTGGTGGTGCTAGTTTTGGTGTTATTCTGGCCTTTCAAATTCAACTCGTTACATTACCACAAACCGTAACTTATTTCAGAGTTGAAAGGTTTATACAAGATACTACTACCACTGATGCTGTTGTTCAATGGCAGAATGTTGCTAGTAAAATCGATAATGATCTGTATATAAGGCTACTCATACAACCAATTACTGTGAAAAGCAAGTCCAAGGGTGCAAAGAGTAGTAAATCGATACGAGCAACGTTCGTCGCGTTGTTCTTGGGTGATTCTACTAGATTAATGTCTCTAATAAGCAAACAATTCCCTCTTTTGGGATTGAAAAAACAAGATTGTGTGGAAATGAGTTGGATTGATTCCGTACTACAATGGGCAAATTTCGACAACACGACAAAACCAGAAGCGTTGTTGAACCGAAAAGGGGATCCATTAACTCACTTGAAAAGAAAATCTGATTACGTACAAACCCCAATTCCTAAGAAGGAGTTGGAGTCCATTTTCGCTAAAATGATTTCTTTAGGAAAAGCAGGAATGGTGTTCAATCCATATGGGGGAAGAATGGGTGAAATTGCAGAAGGAGAAACACCATTTCCTCACAGAGCAGGTATACTTTTCAAGATTCAGTATTCAATGAATTGGCATGAAGAAGGATTAACAGCTGAAAAAGAGTACTTATCACAAATAAGAGATTTGTACAGTTTCATGACCCCATATGTTTCAAAGAATCCAAGACAAGCTTATTTGAATTACAGGGATCTTGATATTGGTATAAATGATCAAGTTTCACAACATAGTTTAGAAAAAGGAAGAGTCTATGGGACCAAGTATTTCAATAAAAATTTTGATAGGTTGGTTAAGGTGAAAACAATGGTGGATCCACAAAATTTCTTCAGAAATGAGCAGAGTATTCCTACTCAAACGAAACAGAGGAAGATTATGTGATCTCAGTATTTACTTAAATCAAATATTTTGCTCTAAATATTTTCGTTTTTACTTTATTAGTTTATGTGTTTTATATTATTACTTACTCTCTTTTTTATTTCACTTTTGAATTGACACATAATACTTCTATTAATTATGAAATAAATAAAAAGTTTTATATTTTTCAAAGTAATTAATCATTTAATAATGGGTATAATAGGTAAAAAGAATTATCTTTTTTTGATTTATTAAAATAAACAAATAATTAGAGACAATTATATAAAGAAAAGTAGACAAATAATTAGGGACAGAGATAATAATTAATAATAAACACATTAATAATTAAAAAGGAAAATATAAATGTATTTAACTAAATTTCGTTATTGATAACAAAAATCAAAATACTGATCTGAAAAGTCAATATTATATTGGTACTGATGTAGAAAACAATACTCTAAGCAATAAAGTCAGAGAAAAAATAAACTACTTTATACAAAGATTTATGATAAAATAGAAGAGGACAACCTACAGTTTTGTTTTATAGAAGAAAAGTGAAAAAGTCTATCTACTAAGAGGTTTCACATTATATGTACTATATATAGATTGATTGATGTACCACCTTTAGTTTAATTCTTTCATCCAACTTGTCTTCGTTAAATTTAAAACAATTGAAAGAAATTAACATACTATATAAAAGAATAATATTATTATTTAGCTACTATTTTTTATCATATATTTTATGATTTTCTTAATTATTAATTACCCTAATATATCTTACCATATATTTATTTCTCCTCTTATATTTTAAGATTTCTTAATTTTTAAAATATAGTTTTCTCTTACCATATGTTTTAGAATTTCTTAATTATTAAACATCGTAATATCTTTTATTATATATTTTAGGGCCCTTAATTTTTTAAAATATGTTTCATTTTATCATATATTTTGGGACTTCTTAATTTTAAATATTATAAAAATAATTGAATAATAATTTGAAAAAACTAATAATAAATGATAATTTTCCCTATAATAAAGTCTTTTAATAAAAGGTAAATTATGTGCACGTGTTTTGCATGATGTATCACTTTAATAACCCCCCTCCCCTTTTAAAAAAGAAAAATTTACTTCCCAAATAACTAGTTTAGTGCATTAGCATGTATGTCTAATAATTTACTTTATAAATAGGGAAAATGCATAAATTCATCTCAGAAATTTTATCGAAAAGTAAGTTACATGCTTAAATTATTGAGGCAATCTATTACACATTTATATTATCTAAAAGTGAATTTAATATCATCCTAAACTGACATGGAAATAAAATTTAATAAAAATTAAAAAAAACGTGTTTGTGTAAAAAAAATAAAAGGGCAAATTTTTCCCACCCCACCTTTCTCTTTCAGTTTTCCTACCTTTCTTCTTCCTCAATTTTTTTAGTATCACAAACACTATTTTCATATCAAATTCATCAAGTCAAGAACGGATTATTCAATTTATTTTTGTATCTTTTTATTGATTGTGAACATTTGAAATAAAAAAAATTAGATATTGCTTTTTTTGTGTGTGTAAATTTTTTTTTGAATTTTGCACGAGATTCAATTTTTTAATGTATGTTCATAGAACCTTCTTCTTTCTTAGAAAAAATCTCTCTAGATTTATTTCAAAAATAGTAATAGTAAATCGAGCACCAATTCTAAATTGTCCGACTAAAATCTTTACAATTAAATTCTCTTCTTTTAGCTTGAATGAAATTTGTATATTGTGATAATTTTTGTGGTGGTATGACTTTTAATTTCAATAATGACAATGAAATTCGTGATTTTGATGGGGTGGTGAATTTATGATTAAAATTGTGATGAATTTCAATGATAGTGATATGATTTCGATGGTTAATTAGTTAAAGTTATGATGTTTGTTATCGGTTTTTTATGATGACAATGGTTATGGAAAGACTTCGGTGGTGAATTTGATAATGGATAGTGAAATCTATGGTGGTGGAGAAGTGAATTTGATGATAATAACAACAACGGTAGTAATTTACTGGTGGGTCTGATGGTGTATAGGGAAGAAGAAGAAATTGGGTGATTTGAATTTTTTTAAAAAAATCTGACGTCAATATTGATGTGGCAGTGACATTGTGACGACGTGGCGCGAGCGTTAAATATTTTCTCATCATGTGACTGGTCTATGTGTATAGGGTTGAAATAAATTCACTTTTAAATAATTCAGGTGGGTAATAGGTCGTCGCAATAGTATAAGCGTGTAACTAACTTTTGTGACAAATTTAGGAAAAAATTTATGCATTTCCCCTCCCAAATAACTAGTTTAGTGCATGCTAGTTAGTACGTATGTATGGCTTTAATTAATTACCCCCTACCCACTTTAAAAAAGAATAATTTACTTTCCAATTAACTAGTTAAGTGCACGTGTTTTGCATGTATATATCAGTCTTTACAAAAAATAATTTACTTCACAAGTAACTAGTTAAGTGCATGTGCTTTGCACTATATATCGCTTTAATTAATACGCCCTGAAAGTCCTTTCCTTACAGTCAAGTGACTTTCAGCTCCTCCTTTCTTTAATTCACAGGCACAGGAGGTCAAATTTCAATTGTTGTGAAAGTTACCAATTATTTTCTAGATGGTTCTGCAACACGTTTGGAACAAAATAAAAATATCTTCATTTTAAAATTCCATTGGACTCGACTGGAGTAATGTTATCATTACCAATGATTACAATTTCATCAATATATAGTAAAAGGAAAAAAGAACAGTTTCCACGTCGTTCTCCATCAAATATCAAATTTTTTGGAAAGATGTGTATATGCTTGGATTGATGGAGAACGACGTGGAAACAGAATACTTTACAGCCTCACGCAGATAATCTATTATTTTCGCCTTCAAATAAGGATTGAGGCGCTACTTTTAGCCCTTCCAATTCAAAACTCAAGAGGTAATAGATGTTACCTGTTTGGTTTACAAGCAGCCACCTTTAGTCTTTCCCATCATGGTGACTGAGTAGATATCAGGCGAGTTCATTACTTTCTTTTTTTAGTTTATTTAAAAAAAGAACAATCTTTTTTTATTTTTGCAACACTTTAATTTCAACTTGCTACATGTTTTAAGACTACAAAATTGAAACACATTTTAATATATTTGATATAACTATAATTTAGGACCATAATTGAAAAGTCTATTTTATTTTTGATGAAATAATAAATATGTATATTAACAATAAATTCATCTGAATAATTAATTTATCAAGTATAAAACTTTTTAAAAGTAATACACATATTTTAAAGATAACATAGTTAGAATAGGATAACTCACCACACTTATTGACAAGTAAACGTAGAGAACAAATTATATTATTGATATCAAAAATTAAAATTATAGTGATTTTGATGAAAACTTATCTTATTTATTATAGTCGGAAATTAAATATGAACAAAAGTCAATATTTAGTTGTGTGTCAATACCAAAGTTAGAAATTTTGTTTACAAAATTTCAATTAAGTTATAGTTAGTTTCCATAGATTTAAATAAGAAAATATTTTGGTCAATAGCATTTGTGTACCAAATACATCAACCTTTTTTCCCCTTGTTTAAGCATTTTTATTTAAATAGTGCTTTTTAAAAATCACTTTATAAAGTTTATTCAAATAGGCTCTAAAATATCATGACTTTTTTCAGGTTAAAAATAACTGAATAAGTTGAGACTTAATTAGTAATTATAACTCCAATTAATTTGAGAGTTTCAAATATTAGAATAATAACTAAAAACAATTATTTCTTTAGAAATATTAATTAAAATTTTGTCCTTCACAAAAAAATCCTAGACACAATTGTTATAGATTATTTTTCTTAAATAATTATCATTTAATCATTATACTCATACTTAAAATAATTATAGAACGATTATAACTGTGGTAAGTTAAAGATTTTTATTCAATGATAAAAATTATTTAAGAAAAAGGGTAAAAAAATTCCCTTAAGGAATTGGAAATGACTAAAAAATGTTCTTCTTTCATCTATTGGAGCAAAAACATAAAAATGCACTTACAATTAAATTCAACCCTAAAGTACCCCTTCCTTTAACATAAGCTGATGTAGCAAAAATAATTTGGAGGATTAAAAAAGTACTATCAAATTCTTTCAGTATTCTTGGATCTTTAAAAAAGGTTATAAAAATTTCTATATATCAAGTAGAGCTGTCAATATGGGCTAGCCCACCCCATCCGGGCTAACCCATACATGCTTTGACATTTTACGGGCTAGGCCGGGCTAGCCTATTTTTTGTGTGGACCAGAAAATGGTCGGCCCAGTCCACAAGTACGTGGGCTAAAGGCTTGCCGGGCCAGCCCACTTTTTAAAAAATAATATATTTTTTTATAACTATTAAATTAAATTTTAAATTATAATTTAAAAATATTATCATAAATATCGACAAAACAATATTACATTATGTTAGGTCTTATTTGTTTACACTTAATGGGGTTTGAATCTTAATCATTCAGAATTGCCTCATTAAGTGTGTTTGTTTTTAAGAACTGGATCTTAATTATTCAAATACAATTCATTAAGTTCGTTCGTTTTATTTTCTTATAAATCTCTTAATGGGTCTGGATATATCTGAATGAATCAGATCTGTAACATACCCTTAACACTATTCAGACTAAAAAATAAGACTCCTATCTTAATTCAACTAAATCACGACAACTCATAAAAATTGTTTTCTTATTTAATTAATATTAGTTACATGCTTGTCATTATAATTTCCTTTATTCATATTAACTTAATATACATCTTTTACTTTATAAATTAATCAATATATTTGAATTGATAAGCACTCCATGCTATAATATTTAGCACGATTTTAAAAAATAAGAAAGTATTAGTTATTTGATCGATAACAATAAAAAAAAATTATAATAAAATAAAATATTTTCCTAAACTATATGTATACTACTCTATATAATGTCACGATCCAAAACGAGCCGCGAGTGGCACCCACACTTATCCTACTACGTGAGCGAACCAACCAATCTAAACCCCAACATTTCAACCATAATAAACAGAATATAATGCGGAAGACTTAA